TACCCGCTTGACGGCGGATGTGACCAAGCTCGGCGTCGCTGACTCCGTGGATCTCGCAGCCAAAATTTAACCCCGCCAAAGCCCCACTGGTGAAGATCTTCTTAGCAGAACGGCCCAGGACCTGACGCTGTTTGCAGATCCTGTTGACACGCTTGTCGAAGGTGGAGCGGCGCTGCTTGGCTTTCCTACAACGGCCCTTGACCCTCCTAGGCAGTCCAGCGGCATCGTCAGTCCCCAGGTTGACAGCCGAGGAGGTCCCACCAGGGCCAGCCCAGACACCCAAGAAGGCCAGGAGTTTTTCCCCAAGACGCCGCTGACTGCATACGAGGCTCGCCTTGTCGGGGGCGACCTTGCACTTAATATCGGCCTCCACAGCCTTGAACAAGCCCACAGCCCCGACGGTGATGGCCGAATAAACTTCATGGAAACTACCCTGAGCTGACAGGCCCAGGTCGTCAATGTAAAGATCCAGGCTGGACGACGGGTGCAGCTCGACATTCAAAAAGGCTTTCATGTAATAGGCCCTGACAAAACTGGTGGCAATACTGCATCCAACAATGACACCACGAATCGCCAGGAACGGCCCCTGGATGAAACCGCTGATGTTCAGGTACCTGGGGGCCCGATAGGCCGCGACGCAGAGCCTGGAAACAACCTGGGGGAAATCCAACTCATCACATCTGGTAGCGAGGTCCTCAAGATCCATGGTTTAGTAGAACTTATACATGTCCCAGAGGAGGGACGCCGAGCACTTGCCAAGCTGCACGGCCGCTTCACTCTTAGTAGTCTGCCGCCGGACCACATCCGAAGCCGACTTGAAACCGTAGGCAGCGAACATAGCATGCTGGTTAGCCTCCTCCCACATCATCGCCTCCCTCCTCCTGCATCTCCCCCAAAGTCTGTAGGGCGAGGTGAAGATGCCTATGGGGCGGAGGCCGCGAGACGGCTTGGCCAGCATTGCCAGCATGACTAAACGCAGCTGCTCAGGCAAAACGGCCATCGTCTCCATGATGGCGAAAAGCAACGAGACAACTTGCAGGGCCTTGTCACACAGCAGCGCGTAATGCCGAAGGTGAAAGCCGTCAACAGACACAGCCGACCGCCTGGAATAACCCCTGCTCTTCTCCTTCAAGCACTCGGGCGAAACCAAGGGAAGATGTTCCAGGGGTTGGTAGGGCTTGGGGTCCATCAAATCGAACAGTTCAGTTTCGGCCAGCCATAGCTTCTGAAAACGTTCCCCTTCAGCGCGCAGAAGGGAACGAGGATCGGAAACAACCTGGCCCGCAGCACTGAGGGTCGTGGAGGGAACCCAAGCCTCTACAGGACGCGTCCAGGCGTGAGCATTGCGGCCGCCGCCCTGGTCTATGTCCCTTAGAAGCCACTCCTTCCACGACCGCTCACCTGCAGCTCGAGCCGCCTTGGCGGTCGAGTCCAGAAGGTCAGCTAACTCGATGGACACGCCGCCTATGGCCTCCAGGGTGATCTTGTCCTGCCTAATGAAGTCCAAGACTCTACGGTGGGCCTCGAAGATAGCACCAGACCCCATGTGTTTCTGAATGAACGGCGAGGGGTACTCCAGAACCTTCCTGGCACTCATAATAGGGATCCCACCAGAACAGTTGCGATGCAAGGTCCTCCAGGAAGTGGTCCAATCCCTGACACTCTGAGAAAGCCATCTACAAACAAAAAGTTCAGGATGCCGAGCTGGTCGCTGGTCGCGCCCCAAGACAGGAACCCGCCAGGCCTTGGGAATCTCTCCTCGACACCCAGTCTGGGGGAGCTTAACCTGAAGTTGATCGGCAAGCTCGGCTTCGGCAAGGTTGGCCCATCGCTTATACAAGTCGGTGAGCCCGTAGTGAGCATCCAGAGAACCCCGACGGGCGCATTCAAGGACTTCATAAGCCAAGTCCAGCGTGGAATCCCAGTCCTGGGGCGCGGGTCCAGGCCCGACAGGGACTTCCACAGGCAAAGGAGGAGGCTTCCTGAACTGTAAAACTCTAAGATCGGCTAACCTGGTATGGAAATCGACCCCCGCGGGCGAGTGGGGAGACGTCGGAGCATACCTGTCGACCCACGTCTCCTTGATACCTTTAGATAAACCACCAGACACCACGAAAAAATCATACACCTTTCCGCCAGCTGAGCTAAGGCAGGTGGACAAACCTGCCGTGATCACCTGGCCCTCTAACTGCTGAACGAAATTGGAGTCATCAAGCAGCGAGGGCTCCATATTGAAATCACCTCCGATCACAAAACTGCTGAGGCTGCTACTGGCAATCGAACCGATCTTCGAAAGCAGGGCCAAATTCCTGTCGGACAGACCCTCGCAGCACGACAGGTAGCAGGAGATGCACAGGATGGGAGGAAGGTCCCCAACATGAACAACCCCAGCAACGGCACGAGAGTCTTCAACCACATAACCCCCTGGGGGCCAATGAAGGCCCAGGCCAGCACGAGCTAGAATAGCCACACCTCCTGAAGTACCTAAGTCGGACGAGGCCTTAGCACTCCCGAAGATCGATTTCCAACCGTGATTAAGGGCCCAGCGCTGAGCATCTAAGGTCTGGTGCGCGAGCAAGTGGTGCTCCTGGAGCAACACCACGTGCGCCGCCGTCTGCAAGAGCCAATCCTTAGCAGAACTCCAGGCCGTGCAGTTGCAAGTGACTATCTTCAGGTTGATGGCATCCCCCCCAGGGGCTGGGGGGGCCCTAAAAACTTCAAAACTTTCAGGTCGAGATAACGAACCTGAGGGACCAGGAGACTGCGGGCCGACAGGGGAAAACGCAAGATTGGGCAGAACACCAGCCCGCTTTTTGCAAAAGTCCCCCTGTTTGCAGACGCCTAGGGTACTGTTGGCGGAACACAACAGCGAAGCTTCATATATATCAAATGAACGAATGGACTGGGCCAGGCGATCCTCGAGCTCCGCTCGATTCAAGCTAGCACAGCGTGGAGGCTGGGAAGAAATGGAATGATGGGCCCCCCTGCCCGCGCTCACAGAGGAGTCACGCGGGAGGGGGCAACGGGCACTTGGTGGTGCCCAGGGCAGCCTCAGCACGTGCACGGACGTCGGGAGGTGCCTCGCCAGAGTCGCCAGGCTGCTTGGCCCCCTCACCGTCGGGCGGGCCCGCCGTGGTAGACCCTGCGCCGCCGCCAGCCACGGCCGCGCCGTCCTCGCCCTTCCTCTTCTTGCCAAGACGCTGAACATGCTTGGCTTGCTCCTCACGGGTAGCCTGGGCCTTCTCCAGCGCCCCCTTGAAGAGGGAGTTGCACGCCTCGCGGAACTGCTCGTTGAGCGCTGCCCGCCGAGCTGCCATTTGCTCCTTGTCGTCGTCGGAAACCTCATACTCGCCCTCGTCGAAGAGGAAGATCGAGTCCAGCGAGACCATATCCAGCACATTGCACGAGCCCTGCATGAGCTCCGACACGTCCACCTTGGCGCGTCCAAGCGGCTCTGCGGGGGTGGGGTCGACCACGTTCCCAGCCAGCTCGCGGACCAGGTCCTTGTAGTTGTCGTCGGCCGCCTGCAAGGACTGCTGAGCCGCCGCCGTCGCAACCTTCTGCTCCTCCACCTGCTTCTCGAGCTTGGTGAGCTTGTCGAGCTCCGTGGACAGCTTGCGCTCCCAGAACTGCACGCTGCTGTGGGCCTTGGCCGCGCGCTGCTGGACGGGGGCAGGAGTGGAGGTGCGGAGCAGCTTGTCGAGCGCAGACTTGTGGCGGGAGGCCGCCTCGCCGTCGCCCGACTTCTCGCACAGGCCGATGAGCGTACGCAGCTCGGACTCGGACAGCTGGGCTGAAGCTGAGCCGCCTGGATGCCCGCCAGCACAGCCATGGCCGCCAGGAGCAGGCACAAGCCCAGGCTTGAGGGCAGGCCAGTGGGTCCCCGACTTCGGCCAGCCTTGCCCGACGGGACCTGGGAACCCTGCACGCATCTCGCCGCAGCGCTTGCAGGCGATCCAACCCTCGAGGTTCTTCTTGCATCCACAAGCTTCGCAACGCCAGCGGCGGCCTGACCACGACACAGTGTCTTGGCGGGAGGGAGACCAGCTCCAGTGGCTGTCGCCGCCAACCTGGGTGTCCCACTGACCGGACGATGGCCGAGCCCTGGCCGCCGCCGACCCTGCTCTCCAGGGAGCCTGCGTCGACCACGCCCCACCGCCATTGCTGCGAAGCTGCCAAGCATTCTTGGCCATGCGAGAAGGATACCGAAGCCAAGAAAGGCTCGCACACACAATGCTGTCCTGAAGTTGGTGTGTGCAATGCCCGAAACTCGGGCACAGGACAGCTGGGGGAGGAAGGGGAGGAGGAGGAGGAGGAGGAGGAGGAGGAGGAGGAGGAGGAGGAGGAGGAGGAGGAGGAGGAGGAGGAGGAGGAGGGGGAGAAGGAGGAGAAGGAGGAGGAGGAGGAGAAAGAGGAGGAGGCGAAGAGGAGAGGAGGAGGAGGGAGGAGGAGGAGGAGGAGGAGGAGGAGGAGGAGGAGGAGGGCGAGGGAGGAGGAGGGAGGAGGAGGAGGAGGAGGAGGAGGAGGAGGAGGAGGAGGAGGAGGAGGAGAAGGGGGGAAGGAGGAGGAGGAGGAGGAGGAGAGGAGGAGGAGGAGAAAGAGGAGAGGAGGAGGAGGAGGAGGAGGGAGGAGGAGGAGGAGAGGAGGAGGAGGAGGAGGGGGAGGAGGAGGAGGAGGAGGAGGAGGAGGAGAAGGAGGAGGAGGAGGAGGAGGAGGAGGGGAGGAGGGGGAGAAGGAGGAGGGCAAGGAGGAGGAGGAGGAGGAGGAGGAGGAGGAGGGGGAGAAGGAGCAGGAGGAGGAGGAGGAGGAGGAGGAGGAGGAGGAGGAGGAGGAGGAGGAGGGGAGAGGAGAGAGGAGGAGGAGGAGGAGGAGGAGGGGGAGAAGGAGGAGGAGGAGGAGGAGGAGGAGGAGAACTGGTCGCCTAAGCCCTTCGGAGAAACCCTCAACCCCGAGGGGAGGGTGCTGCCCGCCGGCCCGCGACGGCCCGGCAGGCGCGGAGCCTCCAGCCACCGCTTGGGGCCCCTGCCGAAGGCGACCAGCGGGGCCTCCGCGCCTCGGGCGGTCGCATTAGGAGGAAGAAGAGGAGGAGGAGGAGGAGGAGGAGGAGGAGGATGAGGAGGAGGGGGAAGGAGGAGGAGGAAAAGGAGGAGGAGGAGGAGGAACAAAAAAAGGAGTCAGGGTACCCTGAAAGAGAAAAGACGAGGGCAAGCGGACAAGAAGCGAGAAGAGGGCAAATGATCCGATCCCGCTCCCTGCCTGCTGCCGCTACTTCTACTTCCACTGGATGTAATGTGGCAGCGCTGGCCGCTGCATTCGGACGTGCTATGTGATCGCGCGGGGAAGGTAGCTCGGGAACGCTAGAAACAAGAGGAACAGACGGGGAAGAGCGGGATGGAGCGTGCCAAGCCTGGGGCATAGGGCTGCATTGACGGGCGGCGGGGGCCTCAAGGTTTAGGTGTGCAAAGCCAGAGCCAAAGGACCCCGAGGCGAGAAAACGACCAAGAGCCAACGAAAACTAACGAACACGACAACGTCCGCGCCCACGGCTCGGAAGCCGCCGACGGTGGGCTATCAGGACCCCACAGGCGATCTACGGGCGGTTGGTGGTCGCTTGTTCTTCTTCGATCGACGGCGACGGCGACGGCGACGGCGACGGCGACGGCGGCGGCGGCGGCCACGTCCTCCCTCGAAACGACAGAACCAACGAAGACAGCAACGTCCTCCCCCCCGCCCCCATTGGGCGTACCCGACGGACGAAGCGTGCCGCACGGTGCCGCCTGCGGCTCCGCCCTGGTGTCCCGCGGCGGGCGCGCCGGGGAAGTCCTCGATGTCGCAGAGCCTCGGCCGCGGGCGCCCCCGAGGCGAAAGAAACATGAGGAAGGAGAACGACGAGAGAGGAGGAGGAGGAGGAGGAGGAGGAGGAGGAGGAGGAGGAGGAGGAGGAGGAAAAGGAGGACCAGTGCAAACCCAAAAAAACGCATCATCGATCTTGCTGTCTACCCTCCCTTCCAAATCCCTCTTCGTCGACCCCTACAAGAGTGTTCATTGCGAGGAGGAGGAGGGGTAGGAGAAGGAGGAGCAGGACGAGAAAGCAGGAACGGCGGGCCCCTCAGGGCGGCGACGTAGTTGACGTTGCGGGCGTCGCAAGAGACAGCGTCCATCAGGAACGGAATCGTACGGGATGGAGTCGGGGAAGGGCGCAACAACACTACCGAAAACAAACATTGAGGGTCTGCCGTCCTCCGTGGCGATGGTGTGCAAGTTGCCGTGCTCCTGATCGGGGAGCTCAGCGTGCGGAATGAAAAAGGCCGCGAAGACGTCTGAGACCACGGGCCCCATGTGGTGGACCAGCTCGTGACCAGATGTGGGCGGTTTCATAGGTAGCGGTGGAAGAGCTGGAGCGCAGCAGCAGCAGCGGGAACAGCTCCGTGCTCGAGGTCATCATATTGAGGCGCCATGAGCACGTCCCCGTCGGCGTGCTGAAGCAGGGCGTCGACCCCCCACCCGATACACGTAACAGAGCTGTCCTCGAAGGGGGTGATAGGCTCACCATGAGCGAAATTATATGGGACATCGTCAGGAAACACCGCAGCTACGCCCTCCCGATCAGGCATAGACAATGTCGCATGTAGCACCTCAGCTTCGTCGTTATAGCCACTGTTTCTATGAACGCCTCTCCAACGCGTGGTGGCAGAGAAAGATCCAGAGAGGTCGCAGCATCGAAACCATCATACTGGACTGCCTGGTGGCCGTACTCGTCGTGATCCAGGTAGTACTCACGAGTGATCGTCGCAGAGTCGAGGATGCCTCTCCCTGTCATCTCCATGAGGCTGAGCATGGGGAGGCAGAGGTGCAGCGCCAGGAGTAGCTGCCCCCGCAAGACGGGGGCTAGGAGTGACACGCGCTTGGCTAGGCAGTTGTGGGCGAGCAGGGTCAGCCAGCCAGTACTTCACCTTGAGGTTGAGGAGCAGGGGGAGTGGTTGCCTCCCGCGGCGCAAGCAGCAGAACGAGAGCCAGAGAGCGTAGCATCCGGCGGAGGTCGTCCCAGCCAACATCATGCGGGGGAGAGTCAGATGAGATGGCAGCCGGCCATGCTGGTAAAGCAGTGCGAGGGACACTCTAGTGGCCGCACGACCCACTGAGCAGCTCGTCGCCCAAGAGGGGCTTCTGCTCGAAAGTGCAGCTGTACTCCGAGTCGGACATCATACCGTCCTCTCGCCATCACTCGGACGTCCATGTCTCGTGCATGCTTCGATTGCGTGCGTGTGTTTTCTAGATAGATGGTCCGAGATGCTCATCGGTGATCCTCGCCGAGAACAAATGCACACGTCCGAGCGATGCCAAGTCCTCGAACGAGGGGGAGTTCCTGGGCGCGGCAGCGGGCGCGTCGATGACATACATCTCCTCGATGTCGGCAACTGTGGGGAGGGGTGCTCGGGACCCTCACCGGTAGCCACACTAAGGCACCTGCGTGGCCACCTGGTGGAGCTGGTGCGCGACGATGAGTGAGCGGCATGAGGGCACCACGGGGTCGATGTCGAGCTCCTCGAGACTGGGCTTGCCGATCAGTGGCGGGCTGAACTCTGGGATGGCGGTGCTCGGGCGGTCGCTGACCTCGCGGAGATAGCGAGCAAGCAAAGCACAATCAATCCTGGAAGGGTCAGGCCGCCAATCCAGCCACTCATAGCTCGGAGCCATGTGCGCCGTGCCTTCTGAGGGTCGAGGTGGAGCTGTCCATGAAGGTGACGGCGAAGGGCTTCCCGAGGAATGACCGACGAGTACCATGCAGAGTGAAAATATCTCCTCAACAGCCTGACAACGTTGAGAGGCGCCGCGCGCTCGCGAGACTACTTGCCCGAAAGGCCAAGAGGCAGCTGCGGCCTCGGGCACGGGGACGCCCCCGGGAGGCTAGACTTCGGCAGACCGTCTACGGGAACCACTCTTGTCGATCTGGAGGGACGTCACCATCATCGGCAGCCGCCCAGAGGAGCGTGCTGGACCGTCTGAGGAGCGCTGGGCAAAGGATCTGCTGAAGGATGAGGCGATGAGGAAGGCCAGAGCTCTGCGAAGTAAGAAGACAGCGGCGTCGATCACTTTTTGTTTACGTCGAAGCGCAGAAGAGGCAGCCCGCACTCGCGCTCAGCAAGCCCCGAGACGGCATTGCGAATTGCGGCGTCGAGCACGGCGCCGATCGTTCGCCTGAAGGTGCAGCTGGTGGACGTGAAGGTCGAGCCCGAGGACGAGATTGAACGGCCCCGACCGCAGCAAACGGAGAGGGAAGAGCTCGGGCTCACGCGAGCCAGGAGCATCAACCTCCGCCCGGGCGGAGGGGGTGTCAGTGCCGCACGATCGGCGGGACTATCATGTGGGCCACACACGTGGTAAGGAAGGGATCGCGCGACGCTAGCCGGGACAGGAGGAAGGGGAGGCAGAGCCGGAGCCGTGGACGCGAAGGGGTCCCGGCGCAGCCCTTGGCGATCTGGGACCGCACGGGGGAGGCAGAGGCTGTGGCTGTGGGATCCCTGCAGTGGCAGTCAGTTCCGAAGCCACCAGGAGCGGGCCCTTGCATGAGGAGCTCGGCCGCAGGCTGCTACCATCTCTGGACCCCCGCGAGCGCCTGCCGGCTTCGTCACCACACCGCGAGCGGCTACCGTCAAAACGTGTATTGAGGACGGGTGGCAATGACGAAGACCCATGGAGGCCGAAGCTCGGAATTTCTGGGCGGCGGGCGACCCGTGAAAACGGCAAAGGACGGGCCCTGGACGCAGGCGCGCGTCCTTGCCAGGCGCGCTGACTGCACCGGAGCCCGGGGCCCCGCTGCCCGAGGCTCAGCACGAGCCCCTCGACAAGAGCCCAGCCTCGAGCCGGAGGCCGGGTGAACACCTGACTGGGGCACCGATGGCCACGAGGCGCGCGCACCGGCACCGGGCGAGGGAGAGATCGGCGAAGGCATCTACGATCGGCGGCGAGCCTTCTCAGAAGGCTAGGAAGTCCCCAGGCCCTGTGAGAAGCGTTCTGAGCACTCCCCGATGACACTGAAAGCTTCTCAAAGGCGCGAGGGCTTCCGAGAAGTCCCGCCGCCCTCCGAGAAGGCCTTCTCCTTCTCCTTTCCCCCGCCCCCCTCGCTCGCCGCCGACACGAGGTGGCTGACGTCGAGGTTCCCGAATCTGGGCGAAGAGGAGGCATCGGGGAGTGCGGCGGCTGGCCCAGCACTGAGAGGGTGAAGCTGCGGAATTGCGGAAGTACATCGGAGCGGTGGGCCCGGAGGGTGACGCGTCCTTGGTGGCCCTCCAGAAAAGGCAGGCGCAACAGGCTACGGAGGAGCCCGCAGCGCGGGACCTGGCCGACGTGAAGATCGGCCCGACGGCGGTGGACGAGAACCTGCGTGCGGTCAGCAGCAAGCAGCGGAGCTTCACGCTGGCCAAGCATATCCAGAAGGCGACAAAGGATTCGAGGCGACTTGGGGCGCTGGGGCACTCCAAGTACGTCGAGGAGCTGAAGGATGTGACCCACCGAACGGTACTGGCCTCAGCGACCAAAGGCACCAAGAGCAGCTACAAAATTGACTGGCAACAGTGGAACGTCTTCTTCCGCATTCGCGGGAAGAGACCAATCCTAGACGGCCAGACCAAGGAGGAGGAACGCGAGGAGGAGGAAGATCTGCTGCTGTTCGTGGTTCACCTGTGGAGCATACTCCACAAGGCGCACGGCACTATCCGCTCCAAACGGTTGGGCGTGCGGTGAGCCGGACCTGCTGGTGGGCAAGCCGAGGTTGCGGGTGGCGCTCAACGGTATCGAGAGGCTGCCAGGTACGGGAGCGAGGAAACTGCTGGTCACTGTCCGTATGCTCGAGAACATCTGGGTGCGGCTGAATCCTCACTCGGACCCGGACGGAGCTGTGCTCTGCTGCCTGATCATGACGGCCTTCTCCTTCCTCATGTGGATCTGCGAGCACGCTCATGCCGGGTACTGGGATCACTGCAAGGTCTTGACTGGCCTGGACGTGCAGGCCAATCCCGACGTACCATCTCGCCTCGGCCGACGAGGTGGTCCTGCGGTTCAAGGCGAGCAGACCAAGTCGGTGCAGGCACGGCCACCGGGCGGGGGGGCGAGATCTTTGTAGTGTGGGCAACGGAGCAGTACCAGAAGCACTTCCCGGCGAGGATGGGAGGCGGCTCGGAGGCGTACCTTCCGCTCGCGCGGTGGGCGGATAGCAGCCCAGTGTTGCGGCAGAGGGTTCAGGAGGAGTTGCAGCGTGCGGCGACAGCAGAGGGCTACCCTGCATCCCAGTTCGGCTCCACTCCCTGAGGATTGGGGGGGCCACGGCCCTGTACCACCATTGCGGGGACACCGAGGTGGAAAAGAGGTGGAGCCAGTGGAGCGGTGGCGCAGTCCCAGGGTGTCACGGCGGCCATGGCCAAGTCGGTATCCACCCTGCTCGTGGACTACGGCGTGGCGCAGGAGGGGAGCCAGCACCGGGGGAAGCCCCGAGGAGCCGCGGCGCGCTGGCGGGACCCGGCGCCAGACGGTGGCTCGGCGTCCATGGCGAAGCTGCTCGGGCAAGGAAGCGGTAGGAACCCGTGCCTAACCGAAAGGGCTTGCCTGAGTTGGGGTCGGCATTGGCCGTGGGGTTGGCTCCACGGACCCGAGCTTCCGAGGCCTCGACGGTCGAGGAGAGCGCGTGAGGCGTGAGGCACGAGGAGGAAACTCGACGGGAGGAGTGTCGTACTCAGTGAGTCGGTGGGTCACCTGGTGTGCGCGTCTACGCTCAGGGCCGTTGGGCGGGAGGAGAAGTGAGGCGACGGCCATGTTGGCGGTGATCCAAGGTGCGAGCCTGCGGCGAGGTGCGGGGGTACCGCACTGGTGGCTCAGGCAGCGAGGAGAGCCGCGTGGTCGGCTTCAGGAGCTGAGCCGGCGAGGGCCTGCACGAGGAGATTGGCCAGCCAGAGGAGAGAGGAGGAGCCCGAGGCGTGGCGCTTCGCCCGGTATCATCGCCGCCGTGACCCGGGAGGCTGTGCTGTGCGTGAGTCTGGTGGGCCGAGGGCCGCCGTGAGCGGCACAGTGCGCCTGCCCGATCAGCGCGCAGGCATGGGACGAGTGCGCCCTGCCGCTCATCGGGAAGGCGCTTGCGTTCTGCGGCAACGGCCTCAAAAACAACGATGTCGCAGTCGCCGCCACCAATCGTCATATACGATTACCGCTATGCGGTGTTGTGCACGTTCCGAGCTTTCTTCGAGCCAAAAAATAGGACGTCCCAAACCCTCAAAATTCGATCCTCCTCCTACTCCTCATCGATCCCCCTGTCCGATCCTCCTTAATCCTCCACCTCAATCCTCCTCCTCGATCCTCCTCGATCCTCCTCGATGCTCCTCGATGCTCCTCGATGCTCCTCGTCCTCCTCCTCTCTCCTCGATCCTCCTCCTCGATCCTCCTCCTTCTCGCTACTACTCCTCGTGCTCCTCCTCCGTCTTCTCCTCCAACTCCTCATTCCCCTCCTCCTCCGCCTCATCCTCCTGCTCTTCGAGCCTCCTTCTCCTCCTTCTCTCCTCCTTCTCGAACTTCCCCCTCGATCCTCACACACATCCTCGAGCCTCCCCCTCCATCTCCGATCCCCGTCACTGGCCTTCCATCTCGATCCTCGCTCCTCGAACCTCCCCCTCGATCCTCAATCCCCTTTGATCCCCTGTCCTCCGATTTCAAGGCTGAGATGCATAGCGCACTGAAAACATACTCATGTTTCGCGATAGCAGCCATTACCGGCCCTGGGCCCTCCTCTCCCCTGGTAGCACCACGATTCCTGCCGGGCACGTCTGGGAATGCCTCGGAATAGCCAAGAGCGCTCGACAAGCAGATACAGATTGGGATCTGCTCTGGCAGAGCGTGCACCATGCGATGGATAAGCAAGGACCTGCGGTTGATAGCTACGGCTAACTAAGCGCAACGAAGGGAATTGCTGGGAATACAACTTCATGTTGTTTTACCCTCTCCGTGCCCGCCTCCGCCTGGTTCCTGGTTCCTGACGGCATTGGTGTCTTCAGACGCTGCCGCTTTCCTGCGCTTCCTCCTCCTCGCCCTCGTCGCCTCGTCGTCCTCGTCCTCCTCATTACATTGCAGGTGCTTCACGCGAAGACTTACGAAACAAACGAAAGAACCATCACCCTGACGACGTACCCAACCCCTGCGCAATGCGGGGCACGAGTAGCTGCTTGAGACACGTTATACAGAGGTGATGACGTGACATGGGCGTATGTAATTCTGCGAGCGGCATTTGTGAGGCTCGCAGCCCCCCAGGGACGGCGAGGTCTCGCTCAGATCCGCGCGGTGCGTCACTCAGCTGGTGACCATTTCGTAGATCGCAGCCACCCAAGGACGGCGAGGTCCCGTTCAGATCTGCACCGTGCCTCACTCCGCTGGACCCACCACCAGCCCTCGAAAGCAAGTGGCGACAGCTTCGCAGATCGCAGCACCCCAGGGACGGCGAGGTCTCGCTCAGATCCGCGCAATGCCTCACTCCGCTGGACCCACCACCAGCCCTCGAAAGTAGCGACAACTTCGCAGATCGCAGAACCCCAGGGACGGCGAGGTCTCGCTCAGATCCGCGCGGTGACTCAGTCCGCTTGACCCACCACCAGCCCTCGAAAGTGGCGACAGTTTCGCAGATCGCAGCCCCCCAAAACGGCGAGGTCTCGCTCAGATCC